ATACAAAAAAAAAAAAAAAGAAAAAACGGGAGGCAGGGGAAACAATAAAACAGGTCGCGCGCCCCTGACCTGGCCCGGCTGGGAAGAAATTAAGTGGATTAGTACCCTAATTGCGAGACGACGGTAAACCGAAATGAATGTGGTGCCCGGGGGAGGAGGAAGGTGAATGTAATTATGCGACTAAGCACTTAGTAATTTCCAACGAAAACAAGGGGAAGGGCGGATTGGGGAAAGGAGCGAAAAGCTGGCTGGTATCGCGAGCCGGTAGGACAGAGTTGCCAAATGCCCGCTACACATCTAATCTACTCCGTCAACGAATTCTTTATCGTGGACAATATCTAGAGTAAGCGTGGGTATATTATTGTGAACGCCCCAAATACTCTGCGGTATTTTATAAAAGTAATAAAATCTATCATTTTATAGTGTGTGTGTATATAGAGTAAGCGTGGGTAATATTGTGAACGCCCCAAATACTGCGGTATTTTATCAAAGTAATAAAATCTAACATTTTATAGTGTGTGTATAATCTCCTAAATATGATTCTCATAATTTGTCATACATACGTTTAATATCGATAATTTATGATATTGGCAAGTTTCCCCCTTGTTGCGGCGAATCGGTTTTTTTCTCGGTCGAATTGCCAATTCACTTTTTCGAACGCAATTGAAAACCATCGCCGGGGAAACATAAATTCGCGACAGCGAAGGGAAATGAGCGGAGGCGAAGGAACAAGGGTGAGCCGTTAAAAGTTGAAGACACGCTTGCGCGGAACTGTTTCGCCGGTAATAGCCAAAGTTCTCGGTCTGGTCCGGTTCCGCCGTGGCCTTTATTATTTTATATTTCGCCGGCCCGCCCGAAGATAACAGAAATTACACCCGCGTTCCAAAGTGAAACAACCGTTACCGGCGCGACGCGAAACTTTAATTCCCCCACGATACCGCGGTCGATCCGATTTCATCTTCGCGAATATCCGGGCTGCCCGCCTAATTTCGATGGGACCCGTGTCTCCTTTCTAATTTTCTGCAGACCGAATCGGCAGACAAGCGCGGCAAGCTCCAGAGACGAGCTATCGGGGGATTTCGAAAATCTCGTGGAACCTTCGACCGTCGGTCGCGACAAAATTAAACTGTTAATGAAAGAGGCCGCGCGCGCGCGCGCGCGCAGATCGACGCTGAATCTTCGTTTCGTTTCTAATTAATTTTTCGCCCCTCCGTTGTCCCGCGAATTACGGGACATATTTTAATCAATTAATTCTCACCAATTTTGATTGGTACTTGATCAGTTTCTTCCAATTACTCCAATATAACGTATTAGATTCGTTGCGAAGATTTCGAACAGAATCGGCTGAATATGAATTTATATATATACTTTTTTATTTTATTATTTATATATATTTTATTTATTATATATATATTTATGATATATAATAAATAAAAAAGTACTCGAATTCTACAAAGAGGATTATTATCAATTAGACACTTGACAAGAATCGCTGAAAACCGCACGAACTTGCTGGCCAACCTAAAATAATAGATCAGCGTAAAAATGAATGTTCAAACTCGATAGAAATTTCGAATCACCGAACTGCAGAAAATGTTCCACAATAAAAATTGTTATACGAAATGAATAGAATAAATCATGAACACCTCCAACGTATTGTCTGTTCACTTTCTAATTTTCCGTACTCGAAACTCTAAAAGCGAAAAATCGACAGAAAGTGAAAACTCCAAACTTCGACGAAGTATCGCAATTTAAACACCGCTCGAGACGCCTTACGCATATCTTTTCAGAGTGGTATCATTGTCCTACGTTCTATCCTTGATTCGAGTTCGGTTTCCATCGAGAAAAGGCCAGATTTCGCCGGCTGGTAAGAGTCAATCCGCTTCTATTAGGAGATCAGCCCGGCATTTGCAGCGCCTTTAACGAAAAGCAGTTAATTAGAAATTCGTATAGGTCCCCCTCGGTAATTGAAGGTNTTTATAGTGTGTGTATAATCTCCTAAATATGATTCTCATAATTTGTCATACATACGTTTAATATCGATAATTTATGATATTGGCAAGTTTCCCCCTTGTTGCGGCGAATCGGTTTTTTTCTCGGTCGAATTGCCAATTCACTTTTTCGAACGCAATTGAAAACCATCGCCGGGGAAACATAAATTCGCGACAGCGAAGGGAAATGAGCGGAGGCGAAGGAACAAGGGTGAGCCGTTAAAAGTTGAAGACACGCTTGCGCGGAACTGTTTCGCCGGTAATAGCCAAAGTTCTCGGTCTGGTCCGGTTCCGCCGTGGCCTTTATTATTTTATATTTCGCCGGCCCGCCCGAAGATAACAGAAATTACACCCGCGTTCCAAAGTGAAACAACCGTTACCGGCGCGACGCGAAACTTTAATTCCCCCACGATACCGCGGTCGATCCGATTTCATCTTCGCGAATATCCGGGCTGCCCGCCTAATTTCGATGGGACCCGTGTCTCCTTTCTAATTTTCTGCAGACCGAATCGGCAGACAAGCGCGGCAAGCTCCAGAGACGAGCTATCGGGGGATTTCGAAAATCTCGTGGAACCTTCGACCGTCGGTCGCGACAAAATTAAACTGTTAATGAAAGAGGCCGCGCGCGCGCGCGCGCGCAGATCGACGCTGAATCTTCGTTTCGTTTCTAATTAATTTTTCGCCCCTCCGTTGTCCCGCGAATTACGGGACATATTTTAATCAATTAATTCTCACCAATTTTGATTGGTACTTGATCAGTTTCTTCCAATTACTCCAATATAACGTATTAGATTCGTTGCGAAGATTTCGAACAGAATCGGCTGAATATGAATTTATATATATACTTTTTTATTTTATTATTTATATATATTTTATTTATTATATATATATTTATGATATATAATAAATAAAAAAGTACTCGAATTCTACAAAGAGGATTATTATCAATTAGACACTTGACAAGAATCGCTGAAAACCGCACGAACTTGCTGGCCAACCTAAAATAATAGATCAGCGTAAAAATGAATGTTCAAACTCGATAGAAATTTCGAATCACCGAACTGCAGAAAATGTTCCACAATAAAAATTGTTATACGAAATGAATAGAATAAATCATGAACACCTCCAACGTATTGTCTGTTCACTTTCTAATTTTCCGTACTCGAAACTCTAAAAGCGAAAAATCGACAGAAAGTGAAAACTCCAAACTTCGACGAAGTATCGCAATTTAAACACCGCTCGAGACGCCTTACGCATATCTTTTCAGAGTGGTATCATTGTCCTACGTTCTATCCTTGATTCGAGTTCGGTTTCCATCGAGAAAAGGCCAGATTTCGCCGGCTGGTAAGAGTCAATCCGCTTCTATTAGGAGATCAGCCCGGCATTTGCAGCGCCTTTAACGAAAAGCAGTTAATTAGAAATTCGTATAGGTCCCCCTCGGTAATTGAAGGTGCTTTAGTTATCCGAATGGGAGCGGGCCCATGAAACTTTCAAGGCACTGTTGGAAAATTGAGATCAGCCATCGGGAATGGCGAACCGCCGCGGGCTCCTGTAATATGCATGCACACTTTGCAATGCGAAGCCGTCGTCAAACGTTTTCCGGCCGGCGTTTCTCCGTTTAGGGAGTGGAGGGAGGGGTGAGGGGGACGACGGTTAGTTACAGCCCTTACAGATGCGTTGCCGTTGGTGCATACGAGCCGAAGCAGCCGCGTCGCGATGCAATGCAATGCAATGCAACGCGATGCAACGCGACGTCCGCCTGACACGCGCGAGTGCGTTCGACGCGCGTGTAACAGACCGTCCGGTCCGCGAGATACACGCATGTACGGTCGCATATAATATAGTGGATCTGCGTCCTCTGTAATGTAATCATGGCTGACACAATTAATCACTGGACCATCCAACCCCGCCGAACCATTAGCGATCGAGACACTCGGGTTCACGGGGGGGTGCGTTTCGCATCTCCATGCGTTTACACGGAAAATACATTGTGCCCCGTCCACGAAATACGCGCACCGAAATTTATAATTGCAGAATCGACAAACACATTAACTTTCGTGTTATAATTATTTCGCGAGAAAAATAGATAATTTATCGTATTTAGAGGCGGATTGGTAGTACGTAGCGCCTGGGTTGGCAGTACACTTGCTTGCGCTAAACCTATCAGTAAAAGTTACCGATTTCGTTCAACTACAATTCGAGTGAAAAACGGGTACCCAAAGTTGCAGCAAATTTTGCATATAATTTGCACACGTGAAGAGCTACAAACTCGAGCTCAAACGATTTATCAATGGAACTTTTCGCTTCAAAGTCGTATAAAATTGAAGCTCGCCGATGCAGTGGACACTTTGTGTCAACAAAACGTACCGATAGCAGTTCGTTAAACGGTTGATTCATGAGAAGAGTTAGATTATTACATCACCCAGAAGTTTTGCGCCATACGATACGGTATTACGGTCTAGAATTTCGAAAGAATCGATTTCTTTTTATTTCCTTGAAGTGCGTGATCTTGAAAACGTGTGTGCGTAAAAATTTACTTCAATTCGTCAATATATACCGATGTTATAGAATCGTAAGTGTATACTTTTCTATGAAATCGATATGAATAACATTAAACGCGTTTTTATCGAAACTGTATTTTTTAAACCGGCGCCCATGATATCTCAAGATCTAGTTGACCAATTGATTTCAAATTTCAACAGAATCTTCAGCAGACATGCCTTTATCGTCTGAACTAGAGATTTAAAAAAACATCGAGTTTTACTGTCATTCTTAATTTTCTAAAGGCAAAAAATGATTGAGAAATCGAAAATTTGCCTTTGAAAAACAGCTCTTGACGAGTTAGGCTCGTCGAAGTCTGCAGTGGCACGTGAAGCGAACGACGACCCCATTTCGTCATTGTGTGTCAAGGGATTAAAAAAGTAGCTGTAACTGCTGTAATTTTTTTAATGTTTTCCGACGAGAAGAATACTGTAAATAGGTGAAACATGAATAAATATATCAGCGAAATCCCAATACAAAACAACCTTCTGTTAAAATAAGTAAATATCGTCTTAATATCACTTTACTTATAATTTCTAAGTAAATGTAAGTCTTAATAAATAAATACATTCTAGACTGAATACGCCTTTGACGCGAATGATTAAGGATGGACACGGAAAAGCGAAGTTCTCGCGCAAAGTCGATACCGATCAGCCACTTTTCATCGATTTTCCGGGCGTTCGACACGCTTGATTAATTGGTGGCACTGTTTATCGTCGGTAGACGAAGCGGAGAGAGGCTCGATCGATCTCCTAATGGCCGATTGGCTTTGGTATCGCGAAATCAGATTCCCGGGGCGGCAGCGTCCTAGCCTGCGGATCATATTAATCGGGGTGTGAGTCCGGCGTTGAAGTTGAAAGCTCGCCGGCCGATCGATGGGGGAAAAGGCGAATCGCAGACATCATGGAACAGGGGTTGATTAACTCTTCGCGGAAGCCGGGAGACCTTCGATACGATCTTTATCGTGTACCGCGATGAACCACCGCCCGTAATTAATTATACAGAGTTCCGCGGAAGTTTTCCCATTTTTTTCCTTTCTCTCTTTTTTTCGTTCCCCGTTCGCTTTCTCTTGGCAAGATTTTTCCCCGAGCGAACTTGGTCGGCTACGGTCGTTACTTTAATAGACTTACGCCGGGGCAACAGCGAAATTTCGACGAGTCCGATCCGCAATCCCAGGCCGCATTGAAACTAATTTCGCCGGCGCAACTACGCGAACTTAATTTCGTTTTTATCGGGCAACGAGGAGCCGAAGTTCACCGCGACGGCGGCGGCCCAGGAACGCGAATCTCGAAATTTACAGCCGGCCATCAGGCCAATTGAATTACAACCGACCGCGGGGAGATTCTTAAACTTGCACCGTTCCTCGTTTCCCGACCCCTTTATCTGCGAATGTTAATTACGAGGTAATGCATGCAAAGCTGCGCGCGACCGCGAAGATCGCGGCAGACAGAGCTGCGGAACGAGGGAACAGGATATGGCCCATTGCCCGTGTACATGGGAAAGGTAGTATACATGGGAGACGAAGGAGAGACGAGAACAATAATACAGGGATCCTTGGAAAATGGCCAAAGTGTCAGCCGTAATATTATAGCAGTTACGTGGAGCGTCCCGAAGAAACGTACATCGTGCGAATGAGCATTTTATTCTCTGACATTTTGTGCACGCTCGCGCGAGCTTCTTCGTCTCGGTTACAAAAGCATCCTCTTTCGCTTCCCTCGAACAAATCGGACAGGACCGTGACGATCGTTGACCAACTGCGCCGCTTTATCCGCCATGTAAAGTGGATATGAACAGTATCGCGTCACCGGAGCACAATTTGTAATTCCCCTCGCCCTGAAAATTTTAATAAAACTGTTGCTGTTACATGTTAAATAGCTTCCGGTTGTGTTCCATTGTAAATGCAGAGATGCAAGCGATTTTCTTGCAACACAACCTGTGAAAATTGTAAATTTCTGGTTAGTATATGGGAGAATAGCGTTCGCTAATTTCACCAGGAACGAGAAAGAAAATTCGATCGCAGGTTCTTTCTGACCTTGGACCCCATGAAAAATATCATTTTGCTCGGTCGACGTCGGATTCATTGAGTTATTAATCGGTTAACTGTTGTAATCTCTTTGAAATGTTTGATTTTCTTCGTATTTGGTTTAAAATAAAATATTTGTATAAAATACATAGTTTAATCGAGAATATCCATGTACATATCCTTCTTAATCAGTTAGCTGTTTCTGACGAGTACATTCGTTGCGAAGAAATGGTGACGTTTTGCTTCACGACGAGTATACTCGTCAAGAACAGCTAACTGTATATGCTCTTCGAATGAAGGATGCCGAACATACAATTCAACGCTTCGACACTATAAATATCGTACATTCGTGTCGCAAGAAATAATTGAATAAATATCTTAATTCAAGTTTTTCTTTACGATAAAAGTGGAAAAAAGTTTATGTAAATTTAGTTTTGTTATTGTTTTCTTTCCTCCTTGTAATTTTACAACTGATGAGCAATTTTGCGTACATATTCGATAAATAAATAGATAGATAAATATCTTCGCTTTTCATTCAATAAGTACATAATGCTGCGAAGGATACTAAAGACATTGAGAAACGAGCAAACGGATAGAACTTGTTCCAGAATTCAAGTTACTAACACGCGAAGTTAATATAGTAAACAATATTTACACAGCAGCCACTGAACCCGAAGTCCTACTTCGCACCCAGAATGACGACTTGTAACGTGCAAACCGAACGAATAGTAGACCATCCGCTTAAACCGGACGCCGAGCGGCATGCGAATAAATTTATCGAATCGCGAAAAAGCGAAAAGGGGACACGAGAATGTACGAATCCACCGGAACGACGCTTTCCCTTTTAATTTACGAGCCGAAAATGACGAAAAACGCGGCGAGAGGAAGCAGGATCGACGACTGGCGGGGAAAAAGCGAAGAAAGGACAAGGAATCGAGTCGCGGCGGTCGAGAAATACGAGAGAGGCTTCGGGAAACGTTGGTATTATCATAATAATGGCTAAAGCCATCATCTTTCCCGCATCTGCTCTCTACACCTAGCTACCCCCGGACCTCTCCCTCCCCCCTCCCTCGTTCTCCTCGAGGGTGCTTCAGGAAGCACATCCTAATAGCACTCGCGTTTTGTACATTTACAAATTTAAAATGATAATTTCGCCGTGGGTGTGGCGTGCCTCCGGGTCATTTGCGCCCTTTCACGACCGCGTCCGCGGCTCGTTCTCTTATTTCGCCACCCTCGGGGGTGTTCCGGCCTGGCTACACCGTAGGTCGATTATGCGGCCCACAAAAAACCAGGCGAGCAGATACTTTCGCCGGACGTTTGTCAGATGTCGCGTGCAGATGTGTCCCGCGATTACGTTGAACGCGTTATTACTTTTCCGGTGGCGAAACGGTCGCGAGTCGTTTCCGGGTCCACGCGCAGGTTGAACCTGGCAGCTTGCGACACCTGAGGTCAGGTTTTCCATCATGGTCTTCACCGGGTTTGCGCCGGTTCGACGAATTATAATAATGACGCCGAATTTTTGGTCCATTTTCGAATGTTTCATTTCACTTAGAAATTGCAATAAAGCTGTCTTTTGTATATTTTTTTTTTTTAGGATAGACTTAGGGTAGCTTTCTTTCTTATGGGTGCGAAACTATGTTTTTTTTCCAGTTCAAATCTTTTTAATCCCAAAATCGTACCTCATCGGAAACTAAAGTTTTATTTTGTGGAGATATTTGTTTATTGTATCATTTGCGTTACTCTAATGTAAATGAAAGCAGTATTGCTATTGTCACTAATAAGCAGGACATAATGATTCAATTTGTTAAAATTACAAGCTCATTGATACTAATTTTAATGGAACTAAGCATTTTTATTACTGTACGAGCTTTGGAACTATATGTACAATGCAAATCTTAGCCAGGGAATTATAAGATGCGATATTTTTAAGGCCTCCGAAAGATCGCTCAAAGATTCAGTACTTTTTCAGTACTTCTTTTTAAAAAGTACAATGTTCAAGATTTTTTTATCTCTTTGATTATAATTAGACGGTGAATTTTATGCATTTATAGAATTTTAAAGATAAGACCTCTAGTTGACTAATGAAATTTGTTTTCGGTATGTTAATTAATTCTGCTATTAGAAAAACGATATGTTTATAAATAATTATATCTACTTTTTAAAACAATATAACTATATCCTTGGACGTTTTCTTCTACCAGAGATATGTAAATATTCTATTTTACATGATTTATCAAGCATATTGTAGTATTAATAGTACCAATAAATAATTTTGGAAATATATATATTAAAAAGAATTGTTTTTCTTACCAACAGTTCCCAATCCGTGTCGTTGACAAGAACCAAGATTCCCGGTCGCCTATGAACACAAACCAAAATACAATGAACGTGAAGATTTGAAAATTAATCTAATAAAATTAGAATTCCACCAATAAATAATATAATAATAAAACGGTGAGACACAACGCATTATTTTCATTTTACACCTAAACTGAATGGTGCTGCCACCTCGACTACTATGGCAGAACTTCCTAGACAGACGCCATCTTAACACATATATCGTTCGAACTGGGATATTGGGAAGTGCGAATTAGCACAATATTACCGTATTGTGTTTGTGGTGCTATACGTACGTCATTTATAATATTTACGCACGTCGAGTGGAATATTTCCTCGTGTGATATGTGAAATTGTTATGTGAAATAGTTATGCGACCGGTGTGAAGTTATCGAATGCATTATTAGCTTACACAGTGTCCCCTTGTAGAAATAGTTCCGGTCGTTCTTTTAAGAGGTTATCTTTTATCCAGAAGAGCAGGCTCTGTATGGTCCCTATAAGATTGCAAGTGGCTGATTAGAAAAGTTCAACAGTAAAGCATTTGCAAAACTTACATTCGTTTCCAGGTAAGTTCACGTCGTATTTTTTCTTGTTGTTGAAAAGTAGTTCTGCCCCACCCCTGAAATTTAGCGAGTGATTTATTACATCCGATACCGCCATAAGAAAAGTTTGGTTAGATGTAGCTTCAACGTTACCCGAATTGAATGATCACACGTGTTTCACTATTTTCACAGGCCATTTTTTAATTTTATTTAAAATATGTTACTTTATAATACGCGTTACGAACTACTTAAATATAATTACAAAAAGTAGTTCCCCGCGCATAGAAACAACGTGAGTGACAATACTGGTTCGATTCCACGTTCCTTCCGTTCAAGCGGTCAGTAGTGTACATACATACTATTCCAAAATAGCGATATCGTTTCCCAACAATCATAGAAAAAGAGATTTCATTCTAAAAATCTCGTTCCTTTTTTTTTTCATTTTTGTTCCATTTGATGGGAGCATGCGCGTCCGACTCTTACAATAATGAAAAAGAAAACAAAAAAGATACATATTTCTGACTCGAATAATATAAAATTGATTGCAAATATGTTAGTGGAATTGAGGACAACAGTGAATGGTATTTAAAATTATTATGAAATTAATATTGCAAGGAAAATATGGTAAAATGTAGAGCAAGTGCCCCTTGTATACAACAAGTACACCCCTGAGCGTTTGCGGGTCATTAATCTTGCAATAATTATGTATTTAATTGCGGCGTTCTGATCGCGTTGCCTGGTTTAAGAATAATCCTTTTGAAAATATGGTTGATCTCTTAATATTAATGTAATAAAATATAATCGCTTTTAAGTGAAAATACGATAAAAAGTGGTTCGGTAAAAATGCAGAATATGCGAACGGACTGAAATGCAGGTGCCATCGGCGGCAGCTGTAATGGCGGTCGTCGGGAACGTATCATCGCACGCGATAAATGCTTACTCGACCGAGTACTGTGCCGTTGATACGTGTTTGCTGTAATTAAACATTGTTGTGATCGCGAGGGACGTATGTAATTATATTATATCTCATACTTAGCATAAAAGTTCACGATGTCGGAGGAGAACGAACACACATCGGAAGAGAACGAGGCAGAAATGAATCCCGAAAATCATAGTGGTGAACAATCGAAAAGTGATGCTAGCCTATTAAACAATGAAACAGGGCAACCTATGTTAGAAGACGAAGAAATGCCGACATATATCAGCGTATCGACTCCGTCGAGGCGCGAAGATTCAGATGTCAATAGTACAAAACAACAAGACAGGGTACCGATGGAAGAGGATCACAGTCGAAGTGCTTACCCTAGCGACGATCAAGGAGGAGGCAGCATTTATGTGTTGTCTTCCGGTGAAGAGAGTAATCATGCTTACAATGACGAAGAAGAAGATGATTATGCAGACAGCGAAGGTATGTACAAAGAATGTTTCAAATTATATCGTATTTGTTTTGTTTTTGTTATTGTGCATTGATCTTTTTCTATAGATATGGATGAAATGAATTTTGAAAATGATCATGGAAATTTAATGTTAGATGATGAAGAAGACGAAGATGAGGAAGACGATGATGATGAGAATCATATAAGGTTGCATCATGACGATTACGAGGACATTGAAACAGACTACGAGCAAGTCTGTTACGATAGAGCATCGGATGATTTTCTCTTGAATTCCAGACTAAAACAACACCATAAAGAAAGAAGTTTATCATTGCAGGATTTAAGTTATACTAAAAACAATATTCATTCTCCGTACAACAATAAAAAAAGGCACAGCACTTATCTCTTTAAACAGAATTATTCAGGCCTACAACAGAATTCTATCGCGTACAATGTTGCGCACAAGAGGCAATCGTTACCGCTTAAATATCAGAATGTGGAAAGTAAAGTGAAACAGTACATTAACGACATAAAAGAACAGACAAAGAAGTCAATGGAAAAACGTTTTAAAGGACAGGGATATGTAGTAAATAAAAACCACGAAGAGAATGAAAGTAAGAAAAATCTTTGTATTATTAGATTATAATATTATTTTAAATTGTTTCTCTTAATTTGTATTTTTTTTTATTTACAGATGACACTGACCCGCTAAAACTAACAGTGCCAAACAAAGTTATAAAAGATTACGCAGAGAAGACTATTAAGGATTTACAACAAGAAGAAAATAATGAAAATGGTAATTCAATTTATAATACAGCACAAATATTAGAGAATGGTGATAATAACAAAATTGATATCAAAGTAACTGAAAATCAACTTAAGCATATTCGAAGGAACAATGACATGAACGCATTTGGTGATATTCAAAATGAAAAACGTGCACAAAACAGCAATGATAAATTAGAGAAACGAAATGGTTCTGTAGATGTTAATGCACATCATATTGAATATCAAAATACATTAGATAGAAATGTAAAACTTAATAACATGGATCAACCTTCTTTAGTTAACGGTCATCAGCAAGCACCTACAGTTTTCAATCTACGTACATTAAGCTATGAAGAATACATGCATGGCATACCAGAATTTGAACAAAAGGAAGGGGCGAACGAGCAAAGACACAAGACCCAAGATAAGATCAATGAACCTGAGACATATAATGATACAGAGATGATTAATGTACAAGAACTGGAGAACAGCAATACAGATTGTCCACTGAAAATTGCGAATGTCAAAAGTATCAGAGCGATACAAGACGAACCGGAAAATTTGAATTTTACGAAAACGAATTTGACAGAGAGCGTGGAAGTAATGCAGCTGAAAGCTCAGCTAAATCAGAAAGATGTTCAGTTCCTTAACTTACAAAACACCTATCAGAAAACGTTAGCTGAAAATTCAAAAATGAAGCAGGAGCTAGATGCTTTAAGGAAATCTTTAGCAAAATATGAAAGTGAAAGTAAAACATCCGAAACGAAGATCGCATCCGTGCAAACTGAATCTATCGCGGAAATTTCATCTATTGCAAAAGTAACTACGAGCTCAGGAAGTACAAATAATAAAGTGTCCACTGGTAGTATTGCATCTACGATAAGTTCTCTTGATCAATGGGCAGACAGCGCTGCTAGCCTAGCTGTATCCATTAAACCACCTGATTTGACACCGATTCTTAATTCTGACGATAGTCTGGTACTCAATGATGCTACACCAAAAAAAGTACCACATCCATTATCTCGGACATTCATTACTTCATCTAGAATCTTGCAAACTCTTTCTAACATAACGCAAGGTAAAACATCAAAGGTTGAAAATCCCTTGGTCAAAAATAATAATAAAAGAGTGAATGAAAACGCTACAGACCAGTTACCAAATCTCGAGTATAATTCTCCGATGCACGCGTCGACTTCCAAGAAACGAAAGGCGACAGACATGCTTGGTGCTTCCACTTTTGTTCAACCATTTAAAATACCCCACACAATCGCGGGTTCTGAAAATAAAAGTCCTAATACATCAAATGCGGACCTCAAATACTCGGAGGAACAGTCAAACATGAAGGGTGAGCAAGATGACGAAGACCCTATAACAATGGAAGCTCAAACAGAAGGGGCAACTAATCACGGTGACGATGATGTTAAGTTTTTCGTATATAGGGACAATGACAATAGCAAAAACAAAAGTTTTTTAATTCAAGCAGAGGAACCAACAAAAGACGTGTTAGAAAACGAAAAGAATCGTATCCAAGAATGTGGTCCATATTTATTGGGTAATCTCGAAGTAAGAATGTCTGAAATAAATGGAACAATTAGTGTTTGGGGTAAAGAAGTTAATCAGCAGGAGTCGATCAGTGACAATGATGACGACATGAAGGTGTCCATAAAATCAGTGGACAAGATATCGTCCCTTTATCCTCAGAAATCACCGCAGATTAGATTTAGTGGCAGTCAACTCGTGTGTTCGACTCATAAAAAGCTGAAGATTCCATTGAGGCTGAATAAATCCAGTGATTCGCAATGTTGTAAACGAGTCGAAAGTGATCTTTCTCACGCAGGTAATCTTTCCTCGTCATGTGGAAACTGTGATTCCGCGAAACATCGAAGAGAATGGCTAGCGTGTAAAGCTGGTTCGAGTTCGCAAGAAAAATTACATTCCTGTTGCGCGCATCACACCGAGTTCATAGATAAAGATTGTAACTGTGGCTCGCATCACGAAAAACAACTGAGCGACGATAGTCTTAATCACAGTAAAGATAAGTTCCACGTTAAAGGGATCCGAAGGAGTTCCTATAAAAATGCATTTACCTCGGAGTCGAATAATCATTTACGGGAAAACATTCTGAACACGGAGACGAGCGAGGTGGTCTGCAAGTACAATAAATCGTGTCGACACTCTATACAGAATGTCTCGAACAGTAGCTCGCATTCGGCGAAATGTTGCAACAGCATTAGGGACGTTGCTTGCACATGTAAGTCGTCTTTACATAATATGCGTAACAGTGACTGTTCGGAGAGGCAAACATGTAGTCATAGTTCTTCGCACGAGGAAGAAGAAGATCCCCTTATTCCATCGAAACGATACAATGAAACAGCTGAAGTAAGTGAGCATTGAACAATCGGCAGTATATTTTTAAGTAAAATCTACAAATCGCGAACTCGCAGAATGTTAAAACAGAAAATTTATTCGTTTTGTGGAGTTCGTTTGTACTCAACTTTCGCTTTTTTTTATGCAGACAAGGCAACGACGATTAAGTGGCAAAAGAGTGCGAGGAATTCTTATGGATCTGTTGAAAGGTTGCGGAGACTGTCGCAGTGCGAATGCAAACACTGTCAGCAAAAGTGGTATGCAACCGAAGGAGTCATCTTACATGGCAAAGTTTTCTCCTCAAATTAAAATTTCTCCGTGTTCTATAGCCGAGCCATCATGTTCGAGTTCCTCTCAATGCAATGACAGGTAATTTATTTATCTTCCGATCGTTAAAAATGTACAAACGTGGATTGTTATTATATTTAAATATATGATTTGCAGATGCTGTCATGCATACGTAAGACGTATCGAGTCGCAACTTGAACAGTTTCGGATGGAAATGGAAAGAGTACGATCACGTTCAGATGCGATTCTCGACATGCTCAATATGCTCCACTCTGTTGATATGAACTAATGAAACTACTATCACTTTCTAAACTAAGCGCTTTTTCCTTGTACAGATCACTTTGTTTTATTTTTAAATTACGTTAAATCAAGGTGTCAGCACGCTCATCACAATTCTTTCTTGTTTTCTTCTTTTATTTCGTACGAGTACGTGATTCGATTTATTGAATAAAACATATTCACGTTTAAACGACAGAGGGGAAAGCTGTATCACATTGTATCATATACATCATTTTGTATAACAGGAAATCAATTTACGTGACGTCTGATCGTAGTCAAATTTCACGCATCGTTTTTTATATCGCATTACAACTCATGATATGTATCATATTTTTAACGATGACAAATTGTAGCTGTATCGATATAATAGTCGTATCTACAGAAACTATACAATTTTATGTTACGCTTTAGGCGAATCTTGTTTGACATAGTAATATTTAGCTAAATACCCAAATAAGATGAATTTCAAATTCATAAGATTCCATTTAAATTTCAATAAAACGATGATCAATTTCCTACTAGTAATTGCAGTCGCAGGAATCGAAACCTGGACCGGCTTCCCCAGGCAAGATACCAGGCGGAGCTTCTCCTTGACCCTTGAATATATTACTGTAAGACGTTTTCAAATAATTCACGTGACCTTGGAGTGATCTTATGCGCCCTTGAGCCTGTTCGAACGCTTCGTTCAAGTTGTTTATCTGACCCTGCATCTTTTGTCTTATCTATAAGTGGCAAACAAATTAACAACCGAGCAACAAGTCCCACTGTTCGAACAACCGATTAATTTTTTCATTACTTCATCCCTGTCTTTCTGTGCAGCTCTCGCAGTGGCCCTGCACTGGGCCAGCTGTCTCTCCATGTCCGCTATTTGACCTTGCATCGACCTTCTTGCAGTCTCGCATCTCTCCTTCGTTCTTGCCACTTGTCTCGCCGAGTCCTCTCGAACCTTTGAAAAGAAAATTGAAAGAACAATCGCTTTACACGTATTCTACCGAAATGTAGAGTCAGGATATCATACTTGATCAAGCATCGACGTCAACTGAGTAATCTCATGCATTTTCTCATCGATGCGTTTTTGCAATTGCGCTTCATGCTCTTCGAACCTGGCAAGCGTATTCTTCATACGTTCATTCTCGTGGCGCAATTCGGAATTCTTTTTCTCGAGTTCCTCGAACCGTCCGGTACCGGTTCCTCTCTCCTCCTGTTAAACGTGTCTCATCGGTATTAAATTATGATATTTCATATTCCTATTAATGTTACAAATCATCGTTAATTTCTATAAAAATAATTCAAGCAGTAAATTATTTTGCCACAATATTTGAAGACCTGCATAGCTTGATACTCGTTACGAAGAACGTCCAGCTGGTTTTGTAAGGTCTGGGCCTTATCCTTACAGCCTACAAGCTCCCGCGAGAGGTCTTCACAGTTTCGTTCTGCAACTAAACGCATCTGTTGCGCTTCCTGCAGCTTTACTTGCGTTTGCTTCAACAGATCCGGCAATGGTGCTAGCTCGGCCAGTTTCTCTTGGAATTGATTCTATATAAAAAAAAACAATCGAACGTATACACATTTATGCCGATTTGCACAGAATCTGTGAGAGTAACCAGATCAGATTTTAGGATGGACGATTCGAGACACTTCGCGGAAATAATTTACATAACTACTCAATTCGTGAGTGTCAGAATTTTTCTCCGAAAGTCTGAGTCAATTCGTAACGTCTGGTAACGTTCTTCGTTATGCACCTTAACTCGTCCAATTTCAAGAGTCACGTTCTCATTCATCCGCGCGTTATCCATCTCCATGAGATCAAGCTGTCGACGTTGCTCCTCCACTTGTTGTTGCGCCTATTATTTTAGTTATTAATCGCTTTCATACAGGCCAGTAACAAACGATCGTGCTACCGCATATGAACAAAAGAAACCTGTAAATATTTATTACGATAGTCTTCGAGCTGAGCAGCTTGATCTTGAATCAGGGATCGCAGTTCTTCTAGTTCATCTTGCGACTCCCGGAAACGTTGCTTGACCACTATCAATTGCTGTTCGTGTTCGATCATTTGCTCCTTAAAACCTGTCGCGAATCCCACGGTTTTGGCACCGCCTATTGCAAATTGCTATTAAGACAAGAGAGTCAAGGGTCACCTTCGTATTTTCCTTTCTCGGCCTCGATCGCTTTCAAACGTTCCTGCGCGTCGATCAGTTTGATGTCCAACTTCTCTCTCTCTTCGATCGCTTCGCGCGTTTGTTGCTTCAGCTTCTCGGCGTCCGTTCTTAAACACGAAACCTCGCACAATTTGTTCTTGTAATCATCCTGAAGGCGCGCGTATTGCTCGCGGAGGTCGCGCAATTGTTGTTGGGGACACGTGCTAGCACCCTTGTATAAAACAAGAACGTGTTTAATACGTGTCGAACGTATTCACGAATGCTGTGAAATTACCATGGGTGCGTTCACGCAAGGACCGGTGCAGGTTGAGGAAGGTGCGGGTGGCATCGTTGCCTGATCGAAAACGTAATTTTCATAGAGACGAAAGGGAGACACCATAAACTAAACGAGACGTCTCAAACGGAAACAAATATCTCGACAGATAATCTACGTTATGCTGCACATATTTTAACCCCTTGCACTCGAAGCTATTTTAACTGTAAATATAAAATCATATAAAAACTAGTAAGTAAATAGTAAGTAAATATATATATATATATATAAAATCATTTCTCTCACTTATAGTATTTTTTATTTTATATGATAAAAAATGCATTTTATGCATACGAAATTGATTTTTAGGACTCACACAACAGTTACACAACAATTTTAAAAAATCTAAACTTTGTTAATATAAAAATCATCTTAAAACGTGATGTAACAAATTTTAGTGGTGCCTCCGAGTCACCACTCGAGTGCAAGGGGTTAAAAGGTCGTGTCGAGTTACCAAACGACTGTCTTAAAATCTTCTATGAAATAATCATATTTGAATCATGGCAGAAAGCTTGCAAAATTTTTGATCACGCACAGGATAACGTCACGTTGCTGTGATGCTTTAGAGAAAGAACGATCTGAAATTTTTCTACAATATGTTTATTTCATACAAAATCTTTTAGAACATTACTTGTGGTAATAGATTAATAATCGTTATCGACTCCCCAATCAACGTTGGCGAAACGATTTCTGTGAGCATCGGCGTGGCAACCAATTCTGTTCCGTGGTCTCGCGCGATCGCGTCGATCAAGAGATTGTACGGATACCTTGGGCAGAGGTATGGAAGGCGGTGGTATAATCGGAGCCGGGGGTACATAAGGTTGCGCACCGGGAGATTGATGGCTCATGGACGGGGGCGGCGGACAACAGCCGCAGGGTGCACAGGGTCCGGTGCACTTCAACAATTTGCGTTGCTGTTCCAATTGCTGCCGTTCTCTTTGCACATTCGCAAGCTCTATCTGCATGTTACGTATTTCGCATTCCATGTTGCCCAATTGTTGTTCCTGAAGTCACAAGGATGTAAGTACATCATCGGAGCCGAAGACAAGTCAAGTCAAGTTGTATTTTGTCACGCGTACTAGCTGTTTGCTGTTGTTGCCGTATGACTGAAGCTGCTGCTCCAGCTCTTCGGGGCATGTTCCTCTTGGCGGAGGTGGCGGACATGGTTGTTTAACAGCGGCTGGACTACGACAACACATTTCGTCGACTTGCGAGGAAGCGCCGCTGGGAATGAACACTCCTGACCTTGACGCACCACCTGCAAGCCTGGGAGAATCTGTGGAGAAGTTGTTAGCGGAGAATGAAGAGAAATAACCCGCTTGTTATTTTGATAGAAATTAAAGTAATGTTACTGTTTCCTCACTCACCTCCACTGTTCAAGAATGTTTGACTATTCCGTGTCACTGAAAACGCAAATATTCCATTAAGAAAGCTTTTGTCCACTGTGTAATTATCGAACTTCGTGTCTACATACTGCATATGGAATTGCCGCGTGGGGATGGATTGTCTGGGAACTGTTGCTGCAAACAGCATTTGCATTGGCAATAATCGTCGTCCTGTTGCACCGTTGTGGTATACGAATACGAACGGAAAGGGGACGGGCTTGATACCGGTGACTGATTTCCACCTGGACAAGGGTAACAGCAAGGACTAGTGATTCGTTGATTCAAGCAAGCTAGTTGACGGGTCAATTCGGTGTTCTCCTTCACGACTATGCGCATTTCAGCCTGCAGCCCGCATACCTTCCTTTGGAGGCTCTCGACGGCAGTGTCCTTCTCCAATAATGCTTCCTCTAATTTATATCTGCGTTAAATGTATCAACAATGTATACGTGGTCGCTCGATTGATATATAAACATACAGAATTTTGTCGAGATTCGCGGATTCGTTGTCAGGGTAAACTGATAACGATTGTCACGTATTTCTCTTCCGACTCTCCGCTATTTCTCATTTCATATCGGGTGACGATAATGAAACTCACTTGCCGCCTTCGAGCTGCGCATTCTCTAGTACCAGTTTCTCTTGCATGGTCAACGACTCCGTCAATTTTCCCGTCAGATTTTTCAGAGACCTATCCGCCCCCCTCTTTTTACTGTCCGCCACAACGATCTTTGGAATCTCGTCTTCCGTGTGACCGCAAACGATCACTCGTGGAAGTCTACGCGTAAAAAGAAAAAAAACTGTTGTTAAAGGTACCGCGGCTATTCGGAGGATCAATTTTACGACGCACTTGTCTTCCGGGTATTCGATCTGAGGCAAGTCGAAGAGGTCCTCGGGCCTCGGTTTCGCTTCTTCTTCTTCTTCTTCTTTCTCCATTATCGAGCTTGGTTTCGTGTGCGGATACGGCAGCATGTCGAACATTTTACTGAAGGTGAGACTCGACAAGTCTGTCAGGCCTAACATACTCTGCAATTTTCGTGTTATTTGTTCAACCTCCGCCATTTTTGCCAAGAGTTCGTCCTGCTTGCGTTGAAGCAATTGCGTGTCCTCTTCCGACAGCTCTTTTTTCTGGAAATTCGATCGACGATGCGATAAAGAAAATTTCTGGGAACTGTAATAATGTAATAATTTATAATAATAATAATAACATAATAAATATATAATAATAATAAATATATAATAATATAATATATAATAATAAACTGTAATAATTTCAGCTGTGGCCGATTACCTCCATAAGATCAAGGATCTCGAGCTTTAAATCTTCGATTTCTTTCATGATAACGGTGCAACGTTCGTCAGCATTCTTCATCTCTTCTAACAAAGCGGGATCTGTTAGAGGGGACGAGCTCAAGATAGACTCTTGTCGACCACCAGGTTTCATAGGAGCACCTGAGTAAAATATACGTATTTGATTCAATTAAATGATAAAATGTAAGAAGATTTTCGTATACCTTCGCCAATGCCAGGAGGCATTGGATAGTCCGGAGGCTCTCCCGGAAGTGCATCGTCGTCTTTGCTTTTGCTTTTTTCAATCTGCGGTTCAGCCTTTTTCGACGGAACATACTGCGTTTCCTCTTCTGCTGCAGCTTCAGTTTCAGCTTCGGTTTCAGCTTCAGCTTCAACGTCAATCTCAGGCTCAGCTTCGGCTTTACCTTCTTCATTCGTCTCAGTTGCTTCCTCATTGTCAACCATGCTAAAATTAAATCGATTTAGCGACAGAGTAAATTAGGACAGGCATATTTTAATTACGTAACTCACATTGACGATTCCTCGTTAACCGGACTTGCGATTTCTGATACTTCCGCGGATTCGGTGTTTGACTCTTCTTTGATCACTTCTGGTTGGTACTTATGATCGTTATGAGCCTAACAAATATTCGACATCGATTATTTAAATACTATTGGTAAATATTACAGTATTTTATCATTTCAAAATGTCAATATTATATTAAAAATACTTACAAATAAAAATAATAAATATAATATATATATAATAATATTATATTATATATTATACTATATTATATAATATATATTATTTTATTATATAATAATTATATATATAATTATATATTATATAATATACAAATATATAAAATAATAAAATAATTACAAAAGAATCATAATTCTCCTTGTAAATAATTACGAAGTCGCACCTCCTCGAGGATGTATGGTTCAAGATTCAATCCCTGTTGCGAGAGTAGCAATTGGACCAAATTTTTATTATTGCCCGATTTCCGCGACTCAAATGGAGGAACGTGGCCTTCTTGGTAACATTTGACCGCCAAAGAGTGTACCTCCGGTAAGTTCAAAGGCTTTTTTACATCAAACAAGGATTCCAACGAACCGAACGCATCTCTGTTTACAAATGGCGGTCCGCTATATTCCGCGCTCTTAGTTTTTAACTTCGAACTGTCGCGCTTCTGGCGACGATGATTTAAGACGTGGAAGCTCTTCGTTTTAGCGGAAGAGCCCTGAAGGGTGGAGGTTGGTGAATTCGCTGCGGATCGAGAAGTGTTCAACGTACACGGTCGCCGCTTCTAAGATCATGAAATTCCAAATATTTTTAGATCAGTCGATATTTATTTTTCCCAGAAAAGAATCCTGTGGCGCAGCGATATTTATAATAATTCTATATTTACAAGGAATCGTATATTTACAGGGAACTTTCGGAGAAAAGTGTATCGAAATAGATATTGCAAGATTCACACTGCGTTTTACCTGCATTATTTTACCTTCGAAACAACACCGTTGCTACATTCAACGACGAAGATCCTTCAGGTACTACCTCAAGTTAGGAAACGACAATCTTCTCCTCGTCTACTCAATGAAGATTCGGTGTCGATGTCGAATAGCGTCGCGCGATTTCTCAGTTTCTTTAATCGAAATAATATTTTTGTGTAATTTTCTAAACTGCAACAGAAAATCGAGATGAGTATCGAGGAAACCATTGAAATTGGACAAATAATTTTTTTAACGCATGTGTCTGTCACTCACTTGGGAAACCGATCGCTTCAAATAACGCGTGAAGTCTGCTTCGTTTATGTTCATAGTTGTTCCTATCGAATTGATAACGTGCCTCGCGATGTTATTTCGAACTATGCATTACTTTCTCTCCCCATTAATATTCTATTAAAATAGGATGCCTTATTTTGATACAACATCTGTGATATTCCTTGTTCGTAATGGTATTATTAATTAAGTTAATTTCGAAGGTATTTCTGTAATGAACTTTAATTTCGTAGTCTATTATATGTATATATATGTATATATATTATAGAGGTAGGAGTGTGCAAACCCGCTCGAGTCTCGGGAATCCGAAGTTCGGGACGGGACGAAGGAATTCTCGAGCGGGATCCCGATACAATTTATTGCTCGAGATCTCGAAATCCTGAGTGTTTCGGGAAAGCTCCCGAAAGCTTCGGTACTCCGCTCGGTTCTCGAGTGATCTCGGGCGGTTTCGATTTCTACGCACGAATAGGATTTGTAAGAATTTACAAGCATCGCACGCGATCTGCTCGGGATTCGGTTGTCAATTACACATTGAAAATATAAAAAGAAAACAGGACAGCAACAGTATGATAAGTCTTTGATAATATTTGAAAACGATAATATGGAATAGTTGAACAAAGTTTAACGATAGTTTAACAAAGTTGAAAATGATCTAACAACATTGTTAAATTTATCTCCTGCGTTTAGTGTTTCGTAAATTTTTCTCGTAAATGCACAAAATCCAGCAGTCTAATAATTAATATCTGTCTTTTGAAAGCGGGAGAAAAGCTGAAGTCATTGTAACTGTCCATGACTTCAAGCATCCTCTTTCGAGAAACAGATGACAAGTAGTTCGATCGAATGAGATAAAAATGATCACGAACCATGCTCGTTGACTAGGAATGAAGAGACAAAAGAAAAAGAATGAAATCTCAGATCGAATCGCCCATGATAGGATACTGTTTGATCGGTAACGTATTCGATGCACGAAGAAAAGGACGAGATTTATTATTTACAATATACACATTTATCGTCCAGAACATAATTTTACTCACACAATAAAAACTTTTACATAATAATGGCGTATCACGTAGTAATAGTTTTCATTTAGGTGAATTGATCATGCTACGAGACACGATGCAACGACTCTTTATACTCGTTTACGTAACAATGTATATTCATATTCGTCGCCATTTTAACGATAGTGATGTACCGTCGTTTCTCGGTTTACAAGCTTGTAATTGTTCACAGGCTATACATGCTCACTGTAAATTGTACGGCTCACAGTGATCGAGCTTAAATATAATAGAAATCGTGTTCCATCGTGAACGCACGTGGCCGAACAGGCACACGCACGCCATCGCGCCATTTTCAATTCCGCTCGTATACTTACTTACGGAAGTACGGTAAATCGACACAGAATTACGCGTGATTCTTTCTTTTTTTTTGCTTTTGTTTCTATCGAACCTCGGAGCACAAATATGATTGTACAATTTCATAAAATCAATTTTCGTTTGATCATTCGATGGGACCTCGATTAATTGGGATTTGATTGTTAGTGTTATTACTTACCCGAGTACAAGATATTCAGTGTTATTTATATATTTCTTTAGATCGATATATTTAGCAGCAATATGTCAAGCAACAAAGTACTATTTCCCCTCGATCGCGTAATAGTACAGAAATAATACGCCATCTCGACTTAAACAGAACTGAATGCTTAAATAACACCTGCACCCGACGTTACAACTACACGTAAAGAAAATTGTATACTCGCTATCGTTTCGGTAATTACGATCAATTATGTACAGCATACAAAAATAATTTTCCGTTTTTTGCAAATGAATTTCAATTTCGATATTGGCGGAGGTTGTCTCGAGAACTCAGTGTGACACACCATAGAATCTAAACTATATCTCTACTACTCTTTCATTCGAATCTCGCGAACAGTGTCCGAAATTTCAAATTGGTCGAAATATTTAATATCGTCGTTGCGTTTATTTCTTGTTACGCGTAGAATATGTAGAAACAGGCATTACCAGGATCCGAGACACAAATTCTAAGTAAATACACTTCCGCACATTTCACAAAACAAGAACATACCGGCACCGTACATTTGTTCGCTCAATTGAAATTCCATTTGCGTTTCCGATCGATCTCGTAAATAAACGTAATTTCGTTTTTTTTCTCGATGGAGTTTTAATTATCTGTCTTACCTGTGCTCCAATTAAATAAGAGGCCCCACTATGTTCTATCGGATATCGGAAAAAGTTCACGCGATTCTTCCCGCACGGCGACGCGGAAGAGCATTTCGTAATATTTCACCGAAACAATGATAATCGTTGGAATGTTCGTTCGATACTCTATGCTTGCGTTTTTCGTTACCGATGATGGTGTTACACCGTGTTTGTACAAAGTTCGAAGACGGCGAACGAACAGCTGAGAACGCATGCCATTGTACTCTATATGAAAATTTGGGAACGCAGCAATGCGCTGTTTTCGTTTGAAGATTCTTTTACGTTATAAGTAGAGCATTTTCGAGTCTACGTGTGTAACGAATGTGCTCACTAATGTAATAAAAGGCACGGCAAGAAAGCGTCTTCGGCTGCTCCGTTTTCATAGAAAGCTAGATGAACGAATTAACCGATCCGTATCCTTCCAAGGAAAGTATAATGCAAATCCGTAGGAACTTTTTCCGACAGCCGATATCGTTAACGAGTGTTCTACAAAGATTAAAGGGACAGTAGGGTGAAGGAGGATCATCTGTTTCAATTTCCATTCTATTTTCGTTCTGGTAACAATATCTGTCGCTTCGAGAATGGTCGATCAAATTTTTGTTGCTCGACACCGCGACGCGACTAGCAAGCACCATTGTTTGCGTGTTCGGGATCGATATGGATCGTCGGAAGTGCGAGTTTCCCCGAGTCCCGCATTAAAATGGCTGGGCTACACGTGCGCGCGACTGCGTCCACGTGCGCGTTGATCCTTACTTATTTGTACGTAAAATTATTTCTCATTATACTGATGCGTATCTAGACTTCTGTTCCGTTACGAACGTTTATTTAGAATATTATTTCAATGAGCAAGTAACTAGGAGAGCCTTTGTGTTTTTTTTTTATTATTTACTTCATTATTTCTTGTTTTTTCTCGTCCGTTGTTCGCCACCTCTGCCGTTCTTCTCTTTTTTAAATTTTTCTTCTCTTATCTTGAATCCCGTTTTGTATTTGTTAACTAAACGACGCGAGCGCGAGGACACACGCCTGCGTCCCCGTTTTGTGTTTCTACGGTCTTGTTCTCGGCAGTCGACGCGAGCAATTCTCAAAGTTTCCGACTTAACGAATTCATTTAGAGTATAACTTAAAACACCCACTCACACACTTTCACGCATTTTCGCAACTATTTTGTCGTTCCCATTCGCGCAGTCTCTCTCCTGCTCTAATCGTGTCTCCCCACTTAACCGTACTATATTCTCTTAGTTAATTCCGTTTCAGTCACTTTCTATCTGGTTTCGACATTTTATTTACAATGGATCCATGCCTCTCGAATCGTGCTCGCCGGATGCGAGAAAGAAACAGAAAGGTACAGCTGCGGCGATGTGGACAACGTGGTGAAGCGCGTTGCGTACCGACGAATTCGATCGCGGGAACGATAATCGACCCTCAATTGGTAGGGTGCAATGCTTCGATGACGCAGGGTGGTGGTACCGGTTCGATCGCTATTGATGCTTATTAGTCAAATAGTCGTTATTCTACCTGAAATAGACCGTAAGAAAAACGATGAACATTTCGGGGCCGACACGTATCGGAATAAACTTACCGGCGAAAACTATAAAAATTCAATTCTTGAAATGCTATTGTATACCTCTTTTTACGAACTTCTTTTGCATAAAGATGCAGCCGTATTAATCGGAACTGTCGTTTGCAAAAAAGCTTGCAAAATAGCGTTAGGTGTATCGATAAAAAAACTTGCGTTACACGCTTGTGTGTCGTACGATGATCCTTCCAAGCAAATGAACATCGCGCTTGTCTCTGCTGTTCGAAGTATCTAGGGTCAGCTTCATTTTCTTAGGTCGTCGCCTTTCTTTTCTTTTCTGCCGATTGCTAATTATCGTTTATCCGAGATCCGAATCGGCAACGTCGTGCATTTGTAAGCAGAACGACTGTAAAAAAATGAAGAAGACCGTAAAACGATACAAAAAGGGCACACACTCAGGAGAGATCTCATACTGTCCACTCGAGGGATCCTCTTTTCCGGCTATGTCACCCACAATGCAAGCATTTCGAACGGCTTCAAACGAAATTCGATATTCTACTTATTATTTTTTGTTCGGCTTGAATGGCAGTTCAGAGAGTTTTGCTAAACTTATTCTAAACTACTATTCAACTTGATTATCGACGAGTTCGCACAATCTAGTAAATACATGTACACATCTGGTGTTGAACACTAGCCCGAATAAAAATGGTCAGACCGAGCGACATCATTCCACCATATCAATTGAGAACCAATTCATCTACAGAAACTCATTGGATTCGTTATGCCGTCGGTGTACATATGTCCACCGCATATAATAATTACATATCAGATCACATGTACAGTTCTCTCTTGATCAACCTTCTCTCTCTCTCTCTCTCTCTCTCTCTCTCTCTCTCTCTCCTTAGGGGCGCAGTATAAAGAGTTGATTGCCAAAGTCCGTTCTATACTTAAAAATCGTACGCCTAAGCATCGCGATAGAAAACGTAGGAAAGGAAAACCGAACTGAATGACGCGCGAGCAACGAAATGCAAAAGCAGGTGTTAAACCATCTTCGTTACCTCGACGTTCTTCGATCTCAATGGATTGATTTGCACTGTTAATTAAATGCACGTTTGTTCTGGCATTTGGTGAATCTCAAGGTAGCCTAATGTTTCATTTGCTCGATGGAATTTTGGATTTCAACCGCGTCTATGCATGTATATATATATACATATACATATATATATATATAATATTTATATATATGTATGTAGATATACAATAGAATCGTGAGAACACGAGGACCTGCGATACAATACATGCATAGATGCGCGAACGCGCATACTCCCTAGCAGATATTCGTTAAGGGGTTGAGGTGGTGGTGGTGGTGGTAAGTGGGGGTAGGTTTATGTCTACGACGACGATCGGCTTTCATTGGAACGATCAATGGTAATTGAGCTGATAATTTGTATACGTTCTCGTCGACCATGCATTTTATTCACATATTACAAAAAACGGTTTCTCATGGCGCACGGCTAATCGTAAGGTGAGGGGCGTACCGTAATCTGCCCGTCTCTCTCTCTCTCTCTCTCTCTCTCTCACTCTCTCTCTCTAACATCTCCACTTGTTTTGTTTGTGTTTCGTTTCGCTAAACTTAGAAGGAAGATCACTTTCACCAATCGATTCGCATTCTCCCTCGTTTCGTTCTCGTGACTCGGTCCTCTCGTGTTGCGATCGTAGGGCATCTGGGTCTGTCCTTCGAGTTCTCGAAAACACACGGAAGGAGGCAATCGTCGATCAATCGGGCAGATATCGATGCGTCCAAACGATCGGATAGAATCCGTATCCGGCGCACCTGCAGTCTACGGTCTTCTTGCTTCCTATCTTCTTTTTACAGTTTCCTCCTCTTGGTTCTCTTCGCTATTTTATCGATCTCTTCGTGGTTACTCTCTCTCTCTCTCTCTCTCTCTCTCTCTCTCTCTCTCGAGGAACAGGAACTTCCACAATAAAATACAGACCACGGTAGATTCCATGCACTCTCTCACTCAAACGATTCACACGCTCTCGTTCGTTGCACGCAATCGCACGCTCGCAGATCTAAAAGTCTAATACTATTTTGTAGTATATAATATTCGTCCCCTAATCGCGTAAATCGCAACACCGTCCATTCTCCCGGACCCCCTCGACTCCGTCGTTTCTTCTCTAATTGTATGGACATTACACGATCTTCTCCTTTCGTTTCGAATGCGTTTCAATAGAATCTTCTCTTACGTCTAGGTAGTATAGGTAAATTTATGGGTGTACCTATATCTACCGAGTGCTGATATATAATATATATATAATATACATATACATATATATGTGTTCGTACCTGTATACATGTATATTTATATTTATATATTTATGATTATATTATATTATATTATATATATATGTATATGTATGTATTATATATATATACATATACATATGTGTATAATCGTTCTGAGATGGTAATCGTCGATCTACAATATACAATGATTTCGTGTGTATGAATGTCAGAGGTAGAACAAATTATTATTTGCATGAACAGATTCAGAAAGATTTCATTTATTTCGAATGTGTTGGATGTTCCTCTTTTTGCATGCGAACGTTTTTTTTTTTTTAAACAGTCGATCGCGAACATTCTCTGCAAAAGACATCGTTGCAATTTACTGCACCAGTTGAGATGGAAAATATTTTTCACGGTTTCGAATGTTAGATCGTTATCGTAACCGATGAACCCTTAGGAGTTTCAATCCTTCCGATCTTCGCAAGCTATTTAGAGGAACGTTAGGTGCAATTCCGGCAAGAATCTTTTCGCGGAACATACATACGGACGTTGCTTTAACAACGATAAATAAATTTCCGATCAATGAATTTTGGGATGGAATCTTTCTGCCATCTCTGGCGTTTGGTAACATGTAAGATGTTGCGCCTATGTATGGTAATTAGGTATTTCTGTGTTTCCTTTTTTTTTTCCTCCGACTGGTTTCCGCATACTCGCGAGTAGCCTACGCTGTTTCTTCTTAATGATTAACGATCGTACGTCTCTACAACATAATGCAGTTTAGTGGGTGTTATTAAATACATTTTAGAATTTGGTACTCTCGTCGAGACAGTTCGTCATGCGATATACTTTGTGTCGTACTTTCGTTCTTCATTCTTCGGCCGACTTTCAACGCTCGCGTTCAAACAGGGCTCCTACCGCCTGATTCGCGCTTCCTTTCGTTCTTTGTTATATCAGTTTCTCATTTTGCATCCTCTATATTTCGATCCTGAGTCCTGTCATTGTATTCGCTCGCTACTGTCTGTGTTTGCCCGTAATTCGATCAATTTGTTACTCGAAAGTTAAGAAACACTTACGCCATTTCTAGTTACTTTAGGGAGACGAACATAGCGGTCTAGTTTTAATATAAAATTTATATCAATGTAAAATGTGAATTGCAAAATATGCAATAACATGTTTCTTTTTACACGATAACAAAACGACGTTTAAAATATGCAACGGTCATCCGAATGTCTTTGATACAGAATGAACTTTTATAAAGAATTAGGTTTCTATTAATTTGATCGGATACAAATGATATTCGTTAACTTTGCGAATAATTTGTTTGTAAGCTTGCATTAAAATATTAGTCGATCGATCTGAATACTTCTTGTCAAAGTATACAATATTTACAATATCATACATAGTATACGAAGCATCCAAATTATTAACTATTAATGATAGACATTAGCTGAAATTAACAATAATTTCTGTAGAATTAATAATTATCGGCAATTAAAACCAATAACTATTAATAATTATTTCTATAGCAAAACTGAGATATTAGTTTCATTAATGACGGTAGTGTTAAAGAGTGTAAACTCTTGTAATTCCAATT